GATTCTGTGTTGGTATGCTAATGCCGGGTTTAACCCTTCAGCTGTTACTCCATCCATAGTTAGTGAAACAGCCTTCTACCAGAAGCTGCAATACTTGTCTTGAATGCTGGAAGTTGTGTGGATTAGTATCAAAGTAACCCATAAATCGCAGCAGTCTTGCGCTATGAGAGCTGTGTTGGAGGAGCTGTCTGGTTGCCGTGTTATTCGGGAAGCCCAGCAAAGCCAACCTGCTGGAGGAGATTGAACACCTTGGTGATACAACGCTGTCTGGAAGCTCAGGCTGCAGCAGATTTCTCACTGCTAAATTCTGTACATACATATATATGTCTCTGTGTGTATGGTTTTTATGATTAGTCATACTTTAGTCCTTTGGTAATTGGTTCAAATCTTGGAGCTTTTAAGCATCATGTTGTAGAAAGATGATTTTTAGACTTAGAGACCAGTTTTTGTTGGAAGGGACCTTAAGTGTCACCTGCTCCCACCTCCTGCTCTGAGCAGGGCCAGCCTGTGCCCCCTTGCTTGGACCATCGTCCAGGTGAATTCTCAGGGTCTCTGAGACTGAAGGCACTGCATCCTCTCTGGGTAACATCTCACAGAGTTTAATTGCTCTAATTGGCGATGTGGTACTTCCAGCATGCTGGAATTTCCCTGGCTTGTGGCTGTTCCTCCTGCGGTTGCCTGTGCCCCTGCAAGAAGGGTCTGATTCTGTCCTCGCTGAAACTGCCCGCGCGCGCGAGCAGACTCGCGGGTGATGTGCCAGCGTGGTCTTACCCTCGCGATCCTTCCCTCCTTCCAGTTTCCTTCGGTTTGGGCAGCTCAGCCGTCACCTTGCTAAGTTCTGACAGCAGACGGAACGAAACATTTTGTCACGTGCTTTGTCTTTGACCCGTTTGTGAAAAAGTGCTGAGAAGTGCTGGAAATACGGGTGAAATTCCCAGTCCTCTCCTCAGAGGAGCAGTGTTACTGCAGTACAGCTGCAGGGGACACCAAACGCTGAATAGTCTCTAGCTTGTCTCCTCCTTCTGAATTTCAGACTAATGAGGTAGATCAATCTTCTTGGGTCTTACTGGGATCAGAAAGATTCTCATTGTGAACTGCCAGGGGTGTGTCTAAGAAATGCGGTAAGACACCATATGTAGAAACACTTCAGACATTTGAGTTGGGGCTGTTTGGTGCTGCTACAAGTGCAGCCATCCGAAAACATGGAGTTTCTAAATGCATGCTGAAGTTGCTCCACAGAGCAATGTTTCCTTGGGACGTTTGAGGAGGGTGAAGGAGGGAGAGGAGGAAAGGTTGAATTCCAAGTGCAGATTCAACTGTTGCTTTTCATATTGCTACTTCGGAGCGGTTTTACTTTATTTCTTGTCTCTGGTTTTATATATGGCCTTTATTCTTCCCTGAGTCTTCAGTTTTCTGGAATACTGATTGCAAAACTCCTGTGTTAAAGTAGCTGCTAGAAACCCTTCCAACAGGGCTCTGGCATTAATTATTCCTAGAATTTCAATGGAGCGGGAAGACAGTTTAATGAACTTGAATTTTGCATTAGCAATACTCTGCCTTATATGCTTATCTATTATCTGTCCATCTGGCAGCTCACATGCTTGTTGGCAGAAGGGCTTTATTTCCTTTCCTGAAAAATTCTGGCATTGAATGTGTAAACAAGCAGCACTTCTTTCTTCATTTATAATTCAGCATGAAATTCTGAACATTATTAGTTAATTAATATTAAATATGGTGAAATCTTGCTAGTGTGAGTATAACGCTCTGAATTGAAGCATATGGAGTGGTACCACCTCCTCGCAGTGAGAAGCTGGCAGATTGAGATCCATCTGGCAGCTGACACGCGCACCGGTGCACGTCTCCGAGTCCGCTCTCGCTGCCAAGAGAAACTGTGAGTGGGACCGAGAGCGTCTGCAATCGGGACATGTTTGAGGGGAGGGCAAGTGGAAGAACTGCTCTCCCCTCTCCAGTTTGAGAGATGCTTAAAGATTTACAGAATCTTTATTTGAAAAAATATGCTGCCTTTTGGTTGCAAAGTTAACTTACTAAGAGCGAACGTGCAGTGGAGCCCGAGCTTACGGCTGTGGTTGTCTGCAGCCTGGCGCTCAGTTGACTGGGGGGTCCCAGCTGCCCACAGCCAGACAGAATACGTGCTGCCATGCTGGGGAGAAGCTGAATTGCTTTCAACTTGAACGGCTCTCCGGTAGTACATTGTGCTGGGTGGGCAGCACCTGGTGCGGGGTATGTAGGAAAATACCTGGCAACATCTGCGTATGGCAGAAATACCTGATTTTTTTTGCATAGACCTGCAAGAACCCAGGGTGAGAAAACAACCCCGTTTCGTAGGGATCTTCCAGTGTGCAGGTACATACTCATCAGGTAGCAGCTCCTAAAGCAGTTAAACAGATTGTCTCATTTCATTCGGGGGGCAGAAGTTAGTGATGTGATCAGCCACTTACTACATTCCCAAGAGGCCTTCACAGGGGCTTTCAAAGTTAACGCTCCTGTTCAATGATAACTCAGATGAAATGTTACATTTTCAGAATTGGCCAGAGAAACAGGGCCCTTCCGAAGCCTTTTTCTCAATGGAGATAAAATTTTAAATGGTGTTAGTCGAATAGATTTTGAATATCTGCTTCCAAAGTGATATTTTTTTGTAAATACTTCAGAGAAAGAAGTGAATTCCCAGGCTTATACAGCTTCTTCACAGTAATACTAGACAAAAGGCTGAGCCTGGAATTCCACACGCACACGCATCCCCAAAGTATGCCAAGTCTTACCAGTTTAATTTCTGTTCTGTCTGCACAAACTCCACAGCAAAGCGAAACTTGTGTTTCTTGCATTTATTTTGTGATTCTCTGTGGCTTCCTGTTGTTGTGCAAAAGTGACGCCAGCTAAAGCGATCCATGGCTGGAGGAGGGCTTGTCATCAACAGCAAACTGGTTAACTTCGCTGGGTTTTGCTTGTTCTATTGGAACTTTTATATTTATGGCATGCTGTTCACAGAGAAAACTGCTGGCAAACGTTGCTATTTCGACTTCACCGTTGGTGTAAATGGGTGGTCTTTTCCCCTTGTCACTTTTTAACTTCTAATGCTTGTAGTATGTGGTGGTGGAAGAGTTTCTCTCCGCTGTCGGAAGCAGTAACAGGGCAGTGAAATAGCGAGTTGTTAGCTTGGTGCTCCCTGCAAGTGCTGCCCCTCCACCTTGGAGGTGAATTTTTAGTTATTTCAAGGCATTTGGATTATTGTATTAATGCGTATTGTAGGAGGGTGGGTGGCTTGGGAAAAAAATGCCTCATTTGTGGAAAAAAGTTGTAATTGGTTCATAAACCAAAATGTGTTTTAAAGGCTTGTAAGCTAGATAAGTGTAACTTATCCAGCAACCTGTTGGAGAATTCATTGCTAATTCCTGGAGAGGCAGGTCAAAACGCCGATTGATGTTTTGCCAACCTGTACCTGCTGTGGTCTGTGCCTTTAAAGACAGAATTCCTGCAAGTTGAAGGGGAGGAGGGGAAATCGGGCTGAATTATTTTTAAAGAGAGAATTTCTGAAATAATGGCCTAAATAATTATTTTTCCAGACTTAGGCTGAAGGAACTGGCAAGTGACGCTGAAGCTTGGACAGAAGAAGTAAACCCCTTATATAAAACCCATCCTTAGTGAAAGGTTTCCCGTTGCCGTCATCTTTGGTCTGTCTCTGGGATATATGAGGAATAAGTATCTTACAGCTGTAAGAGAAAATAAACCTGTCTTATGGCGTTAGGCAAGGTCTGGCAGAGGCGACGCTGCCATGGCTCCTTGTCCAAGAGCTGAGCATGTGCTCCCAGAAGGGAAAAGGTGCTTTTTTTCCCAGAAAGAGTTAGAAATGGAATTTCCGAAGAAGACAGGACAAACTGCAAATCAATCTGTACTAGTGCGTGGATCAGCCACTGTTATGAGCATCTGTTTTTATCCCCCTATAGCTCCTTCCCTGCCTTTGGATCGTCCCCTGAACAAACCCACAGCAAGTCCTATGCAGTCGCAAAACGCTCTTACCCTGCATCCCATACCTGTCCTGTACCCCAATGCCCTGACCCATCTCCTCCCAAACGTGCTCCGGAGCTGGTTCCCCAGGGTGGGTGTCACCCCTGGCCCTGGGGCTGAGGCTTGCCTGGGACAGCCATCCCTTCCTCTGGGTCCTTAATTTGTGTTCCCTCATCTGCCTTTGGGCTTCTGCTCTGCTGGGGCTTGTGGGGTGGGCTGATGGCTCCTGGGAAGATGGATGGGCAGGGTGTCATTTGGGCTCCCACGCCTTTTTGGGTGTGCGGAGCAGCTCTCTGTCAGATATCCAAATAGTTTCTATTATAAGCTGCATCAGGATTGAAGTAGTCAAATTTAACTGTTTTGTTTGGCTTTGTATAGTTGGCATTAATTTTAATACTAGATTTTTCTGTTTTTAATATGTTAACAAGTTTCAACCTGTTTGTGAAGGGATTATCCAACTAAAAAAAACCTGTGCTGCTTTCCTTTTGCAATTCAGTTTGCCCACAGAAGTCTGATTTGTCGTCCATAAAATAAATATACTTTGTCAGAGAATATATTTGTCCTGGTACTAATTCACTTGGTTCATTTCTGAAGATACAAATTGCCCCCATATTGCGAGAATACTTCCCAATTTGACTTTTGGTCTCCAGTGAGCAAAAGAAACGGCTTTTTCTAACACCTGCTTTACTATGGGAAATTAAGTTTTCTGGATGGCCAGTCACAGAAGCGAAGGCCAGTGAATTGGTGGTTGGTAATAGGTGATTTTTTCACGTGAGCTGTATTGGCAGTCAGGAGATGGATCTGTGGGAACGGGAGGTGATGGAAGGGAGCTGGTTTCTTTATCAGTCTGAAATGATACATTTTTAAAGGGAAATGTGGGTGCGTAAGATCTAATTAATTAAAGCTTCTGCAAGATGATTTGCTTTCACTTTTTTTTATGTTTTTGTTGGTCTGGGAGTTGCTGATTGTCTTCAATATTTTCTTTTTCTTTTTTCTTAGTAAAACGCTTCAGAGAACCAAAGCATGAAAGACGTCCCTGGAGGATATGGTATGTTTCTGCATTTTTGTTCTTAATTTTTTTTGCTTCTTGCACGTTTCAGAAATTAAAGGAATGATGGTGGGTTTTTGTTTTTGTTTTTTTGAAAAAAAGTGATTACTAGGAATTGGTGACCAACAGTGAGGAACTAAAAAAGTTGTCATTGATTCATGTATTTTGGTAAAAGTTATTTTCTGTGTGTTTCCCTGCTAGTTCGTTCTTATTAAACCCTTCCAGGAATCTCTATAGAGATGTGCATGTAGACATAAAGCTTCAAGCTGTGCTTCCTCCTGAAGCTGGAAATTTAGAGATGCCCTACAAGGCAGCTGAACATCGACAAGCTTGCAGGAAGCAACTCGCTGGGCTCAAAGAAAATGCGTGTTCTGTAGCTATCCTACTGTGTGTAAGATAGAAAACAGTGTGGTAAAAGATAGAAATACATAAGCCATAAAAGAACACAAGTTCCAAAACGTACATTTGTTTTTATTGCTTTTAAAATGTTGTTTGATTGTAGCAACACCAACATAACCTGTGCTAGTTTTGAACCTGGTCTAAATGTTAAGCTGCCATTCCAGTTGTTTGGAGGGTTCAGTGGTTGAGGTTCATCTCACACAACGCTGCTTTTCATAACTAATGCTGACCTTTATCTTACTGAAAAATAAGTACAAGATCTTTGTGTAGTGCAGTCTACCTCAGCCTGACGTTCTGAGTACTGTGGTGACGGCCTTTAATTTTTAAGCAAAGAATCTTGTTCTGGGACTCAAATTTTGTTATTTATAGTATGGTGTACTGGTTAGATAAGTAACTTATGGCTTCCTGCCTCATATCCAACACTCTGCTTTCTGTGTTGGGAGCGCAAGAGAATAAAGTTGAAGACAAAATTGTCAGGGAGGGGAGATGAATTCAGTGATAAAATGTTGCCTGGATCTCTTGGGGTGTTTGCATCTCTTTAGACGTGGAAACAACAGGCAAAATGGGTGTTGGTTCATATAAACTTTGCCTACAGAATGCTTCTGACATGGTTCCTATATGTAACACTTAATAAAACATCCACTGGAAGGTTTGATTTTGCGCAAAGGATGATGATGGTAAAAGAATGGAAAGGCCTGGAGTCAATACTGCATCAGTACCTAAGTGGGTGTTTTATATGTTCCCTTTAAGTAGCAAAGTATTTTCTCTCTAACTCTGTCATCTGCTTGGAGGTAACGCTTTTAAGTTTGTAATTCTCTTGCGGCATCGTCCTAGCGGTTGCACTTCAGATATAATTCAGTGAGACTCTTTTATGCTTTCAGGTGAAAAATATGTTGGCTTTTTAGCAAAATACTATAAAGGAATCATTGGCGAGCTATTAAGTTGTTCACCAACAAGCACATGATGAGGATTTTATTTGTCCATGCCATAAAGTTGCTAAAAATGCATAAACGTAAAAGGACTGAAATATCTAGTGAGGCTGGGATACTCATTGTTTACAGGAGTTTGTTAAAGACTTACTTAGATTTAGTGAGGATAAGCTCTTGGATAATGTGTATGATACCGAGAATATTCCTTGACTTTAAATTTATGGTGGTAAGGTTTTAAGTTAATATGATTTGGTTTATTTTTAGCAATATTTAAAAAAAGGGGGGGGCAGAATTTTAATAGAATATTGTTAAGAAAGCTAATATTATGACAATTTATCGTTCTGGTGTTATCTTTTGAAGAAAAAAATTAATAATTGAGATGGAATTTTAATTAACATAAATTTACAATGTCTGACTGTGTTGTAAACAATTTTGTGTTCTTAAAAACTTTTTTTTTTAACTCTGTTCAGGTTTTTAGATACTTCCAAGCAAGCCATAGGGATGTTGTTCATCCACTTCGCAAATGTCTACTTGTCAGACCTTACAGAAGAAGACCCTTGTTCACTGTGAGTTTATAATTTCAGAATAATTGGCCTTTATGGAAGTTCTGCAGTGGAGTTTGATAGTGTACGTGGACAATAATGCAAGATATAGCTGAGAATGCAGTTTTCATGGTGAAAATCAATTGCTTTCAAAAACCTGTGGTTTAAGATTAGTTAGTCAAGGATCACAGTTCTGCTGTCTCACTTCATGGCTGGCAGGATCTGGGAGAGCTTTTTCTGGGCTGTGTGTACGTATTTTAGAGTGAGGTTGAATTCTTACTACTTCTCCCTCTCCAGTTAATGAATGAGGACTTAGGATGCAGGTCATAATATGAGGCTGCCTTACTGGAGGAGGTGCTAGGGACCGGAGGATATGAATAAAAGGTTGTGTACACTCACCTCCAACTGCACTGTTCACTGCAGCAGGGCTTTATATTAAAGGTAGGTTGCTTTCAGGGATATTTAGCAAACAATCATTCATCCTTGTATTTTCTTCTAAACCCTACATTAGCTACTGCAGTATTATTTTCATTTTGTGAAAAGCAGGAAATCTTGCTCGGTACCCAGGCAGTTAGTACAAAAATTAATTTTGCAATGTCACGCTTGGAGCAGTGTGACTAAGTAGATAAGCATTTCGCTGTAGTATATTAAACCTGAAGATTTTATGACTAAGACCCTATCTGGCTCTTTACAGGAGCTCCTGAAGTAAATGGTAATTGTTTGGGTTTGTTCTTGATAGAGCTCCTGCTCGAAGCAGCTTACACATTCCTGGTAACAGAAGCTGTGAAATTACTTTTAAAAGCCTAGTAATTTGCCCTTTAAAACCCATCCAGTTCCTTCAATGGCATCTGCTCACTGTAGTCCTTTGGTAAACAAAGGAGTGTTGCTTCACAAGCCTGGTTTATTTCCCTTATTCCTCCTCGGTTTCGTTTGTGTTCCTACGTGCTGTAAATGTGCAAGTAAAACACTGCTTTTCTCTTCTCACCACACAGATTTTGGTAGGGAAAAGGCATGGATTTTAACACACTAACTGAACAGTTTGTTCTGGTTAGGGCAGTTTCAGTAATACCAGGCATCACAGGAGGATTTTCCTTGCTTACTGATTTGAGAATTTCCTGATGGATTTAAAAGCCGTCAGGTGCAAATTGCTTTCATTCCATTTTTATATATGAAAGTATATATTCAAGTAAGCTAGCCAGAGCATGTCTGAAATTGCCAGTTTAAAGCTGAAGTTCAATAGTTTATTACAATATTTTAAAATTAAAAATAACTTAGTGCTGTGTACTGAGTTTTCAAAATAAAAGGTTTGGTAACGTGTGCATTCTCTTCTACATGTTTTACCATGGTCTACATAACTTTATTTTCCAGTGCCACTTTGCATGTAATTGTAACATGACACAAAAAAGAGGATGAAGGGGAGGCTTTGAGCAACCTGGTCTAGTGGAAGGTGTCCCTGCCCATGGCAGGGGGTTGGAACTGGATGGGCTTTAAGGTGCCTTCCAACCCAAACCATTCTGTGTCTATGAACTGTTATTCACTATTCCCAGGATAATACAAATTGCAATCTGGAGCAGTGTATTTCCTCAGACAAGGGTGTAGGTCCTCCTTGTTAGCAGAAAAAATAACATGTTGCATCAGCCAAAGCCACTTGTCCGTTCTTGGGAAAAACAGATCTTCAGTGTGGAAGTGGGTCGAACTTAATGAGTAAAGGCATCGTTTCTGTCCGAGACTTCAAATAAAGATCATTTTCCTCAGCAGATTCAAACATGGATAGCTTTCTGCTCTTCCCTGTTCTGTAGTTTGTGGGTTACTTTCTGAACAAAACCAGAAAATGTGGGTTTAGAAAACCTTGTGGCTCAAAGCTTGGGAAGAACTGCAATTGGAAGTTGCCATTTGTTAGTTTGGTAATGTACAGTGATAATTCTGGCAGGTGTGGGATAGTATCAGAGCTGATGAAACATCTGTTGAAGCACCTCGGCAGATGGGTGGGTGGGTGAAGAGTTCTGACTAGAAGCAGCAAGCCGCTCTCCGCCGCTGTAGCGCAGGGTGCTCGGCTGGCTGGACGCCGCGCTCCGGGGAGGCTGTACGGACCCCAGCCGCCTGCTCGCCGAGCTCTCGGCCAAACGCATTCCCCCGCTAGTGGCAGCGACTGGCTTTGAGGCAGCGCCCGGCTCACGGGGGAGCGTGGCGCAGGGCAGAGCGAGCGTGCTGCCCGCAGGTAGCCAGCCCCGCACGCTTGGGACTGTCGCTTGGCCGGCGCCGTGAGCCGCAGTGGCGTGGAATCGGTGTTGGCACCTCTCCCCACTCCTGCTGTCTGTGGACCTGCAGCAGCCTCTTGTGGCCTCACAGTGTCTCGTGTAGGCTTGTGCTTGTCGGGCTTCCTCTGCCAAGTACTAAACCTTCATTTGACCGTTTCTCTAATACAAAGTTCATTAAAACTCTAAATTGCCACACAACTATTAGAAAATAACTATTTTTTAGGAAGTGTGGTGGATAAGTCTTGGCTGAGGCAAGGCATGTCCACCTCATTTTTGATTTTGAGAAGCTCTGGAGTGGTATTTTGAGGGCCAGAACAGCTCCTGCTTTATTGCTTTGAATGCACATATTCTGTGTTTGCTTTCCACTTTGATACTGTTTTGTCCACGTGGAGTTGTCTCTGCAGCCAGAAGCAGCCCATAGGTCTCTAATTTGCTATTTTTATCCCTTCACACAAGTTCCTATAGACTGTCGAGTTTATCCTGAGTATATGGAATCACCAAGTAAGAATCTCAAACCCAGGGATTTACTGTCTGTCATATAGCTGGCTCTTTCTCAGCTGCTGTTTTGTTCAGCTTAAGTCAGTGAGAGTAAATAAACCAAACTGACTTACAAAATGCTCTGAATTTCTGCTGCACCATTTAATGGACCTAAGAATTAATTTGAAAGTCTCTAGTTTCTTGAGTAGGTCAGATCCCAGAAGCTGCTGTTGGGACAATAAAATTAGTAGTGCAGCAATTGTGTGTCCATTGAGGGGTGGTTTAGTTCAGGGTTTTGTTTCCTGAGAATGCTTGTTCCTGATTCTTCCAAATGTTTGTTGGACAAGAACTGAAGTGCAAGAAAGTAAATTACTTTTCTTCCTAACACTGAGTTGAAATTTGGCCTCGATGGTGACTCCACTCTCCCACTGCTCACGGCACCTTGTTGAGGCTGGGAGGGGGCTCCCTTGAGCAAGAAAAACTGTCAAGTTGTGGTGTCTTTCCCCCTCAGAATGAAAATTTGTTGGGTTGGGTTTTTTACATTGTAATTCCTTGAGGTGTATTTAAGATAATGTCTTTTTATTCCTTTTATTCTTTGGTTTTATTCAAATACAGGTTACCCATGCAGAATTAACTGAGCACTGGTGAAAGGAAATCTGGTTTTAAAGGAGTAAAATTAAATTTGGGGTTTATATAGAGTACAGGCATGCACACACCAGGGTTCACGAAAATAGAAGTTGGAGATTAAGGACAGAAGCAAAATTATGAGAGTCTTCTAAAACTATTTAAGATTTAGGCAAACTGTGTAATTACAGAAGTGGGTAAATGATTATTCTCCATGCTCTGGCTTTTCAACGTATCTAGAGATCTTTTATCAATCGTGGTGTTAAAACACACTGAACTTGTGGAAAATGGACCCTTGCTCCTTGTTTTCTTTTACACTTTCCCTTTCAGGTACCTCATCAACTTCCTGTTAGATGCCACGTTAGGAATGCTGTTAATCTACATTGGCATACGTGCAGTCAGCAGCATTGTGGAGTGGCAGCAGTGGGAGTCCCTGCGCTTTGGGGAATACGGTAAATGTTTCTGTTCTTGCACCGAAATGATTTTCAGGATAGAACCTCAGAACCTTTCAGCTAGTGGTTAAATCATCGTAAAATCACTATACAAATAATTTTACAGTGATTATAGTGGTCACTTTGATATTTCACTTGTCAGGAGGTTTTTTTTTGGTTCTGTATCTCGGCACGCACCCTCCCGTGTTGGAATGCTCAGCAAGTCTCTAAGCCTTGAGTCAGTTTGGAACGACTGCCTGAATATTTATTTTCTTAGGAGTGATTGAAAAAATCATGATATTGGCTAATTTCAGGGAGAAATGAACAGCATGATAAATTGACTCTGAAACACTTTCAGATGAATGCTAGGTGCGAAGTCATTTCCTCTTAAAGCTTTCACTGAACCACATGCCGTTGGCTGACGATGTGGGCTGAGAGCTCTGCCAGCCCTCTGTAACTAAACAACCACACACCTTCAGTGAACGGACCGGCAGGATGGCCTGTGCTTGTCCCCAAGGGGCAGTCGCTCCAACTCCTGCACGGAGGGCTCGTATCCCTGATGAAACATGCCTGTGCCTGTCGTACAGGCTGGAGGATAGACTAGTGAAATCACTCGGGGGGGGGGCTTTATCTTCCATTACGTTACCCACTGAAGAATTCCACTCATCTGCCGAAACTGCGGCTTTGTAGGTGCGGTTGAGTATCGTACATACTCAACAGCACCATTTAATTCTGTTCAACCTGCTGTTTTCAGACTGCTTAGTCTGGCTGGTTGGGAATGGAGGTTCTGTATAGATGCTAAAAATTACATGTGAAGCTCCGTGAGATAGGAATGGGGTGAGGGGTTGTCTTACGAGAGCGCTATGGCTCTTCAGCAGAGAGACAAACAAGCAAACAGCAAACCCGGTGGTTGGGGGGAAAAATGTTAAAGTAATATTTGCCTAACGAAGTAAAACTTTCACAGCAGTTTCATAATTATCATTGGTAGGTTTTTTGGTTTTTTGGTAAGTTTGTTTTTAATGATCCCAAGTGGCTGACAGAATGAAGAATAAACAAATAAAGGCCTTGTCAAGTTGAAGTACTTTAAAGCTTGGGAAGTTTGTAATTAAATCAGATACCATTAATTTCTATTTATTTTAATGGCAGAGGCTTAAAACAGAGGTGATGACAAGCGTCTGTCTTGGGAGAAACGACCACCTATAACACTAGGTCATTTTTGGTTAGATTTATGTAGATGTGTGTATCTTTTAGGGCGCAGTTTATGACCATTGAAGCGGTTTAAATCAGCACTGCCACAACACTATTTATCTGGGTTTTTTTCCCATGTGCCATGGTCCAAAATTTCCACTTCTTTTTTTTCCTTGGACTGGTGCACATCTGACTATTCAGGGAACTGGTGCGGAGAGCTGAACGAGCACAAGATTTCACCATATGTAGAAAAGTAAACAGTTCCTCCAGATCAGTCCCCAGGCTTGGGTCCCTAAGGGATTAGGTAAGCACCGATGCCCAGGGAAGGGAAAAGGGCAAGGGAAGAGCCGGGGCACTGCTGAGCTACACCAGCTGACTGAGCTTTCAGACCTATTACTCAAGGTCCCTTTTCTGATTGTTGATTTGGCTTGAAGCCGTTTAAAGATGTTTGAACAGCTTTCAGCCCACATAAAATCAGCTTTCCACTCAGCAGAAAAATACTTGGTGTATCTGTTACAATTATAGGTAGGTACTTGTAATCATGTCGAATACTAGGCTTTATGTCTGCCTAATAGCATTCTGGTTTCTCTTGTGTAATCTGTTCTCCTCTCTCTTTTTCACGTCCTTTTAGCAATAAGTGGCCTGGCTGGATGGGAGGATGTGGGGAGTGTATTCACTCTCCAGAAATTTGTCTCTTACTGACTTCTAAAATGAACCTGGTTTTATTTTCATTAGTTATGAGGCATCTGTGACTGCAGTAACTAAGCTCTTAAAATAAAAAAAATGAACTTATTACTTGGGTTCTGCTGCGGAGGTGGTCTGCGACTGATCCATTAGGCGTTTCAGATCTCCTAACCCAAAATGACAATCAACTTGTTTATCAAGTATTTCTTCTGTGTGTGTGTAAGTGAGGTTTGAAATTATGTAATTCCTCTCTTCTTAGTTGTTCTTTCCGATATCAGATCATTTTATTAGTGACAGTCTCTTTTCTGTACCTTCATTAATGTGCTGTTCTGTCCCTAATGTGGGTTTTTTTTAATCAAGCTGTCATGAGGACTGTTAAAAAGCATGTTGTAAATGGTTTCCATTAATCACGTGGGAGAGGCTGCTGGTATAAAGAGAAGTAGGTAGCAGATGGAAAGTTCCTAGTGATGGCCGTGCAATAAGGTTAGACCCTATGTAAGAAACCTGTCTAAAAAGGACAGGTTGCATTAGATGGTTTGCTGCCCTCTTCTGTTAAATACTATTGTTGTTTCTGAAGGGAAAACCCTCGGATCTCCATTTTATTTAAAATTTTTCACTTTGGCCCCAAGAAAACTCTTATTTTTCAGAAGATACTTTAAAACAATTAAGTAGGGTAGAAGAGAGGGCTTCAGTGTGGTCCTGTGGGGTCGCAGGTGTGTTTAGAAGTTGTGGATGGACGTTTGGCATACGTGGGTGGTGAGGTACCACCAAAAGGTATCAGAGACTTGTGGCATTTTAGTTGAAGTGGGGAAGTCAAGTCCTCAGCTTGGAGATCGGCGTGATTTCAGTTTGTTTACAATTGTGGGAAAACAAACAAGGCCCCCCCTCCCCCCCAAAAAAGCAAGTCTCTCCTTGTGATTGGGCGATGTTGTTTGTCTTTCTAGAGCCTAAATAATCATTTGTCTCAAGTTAATTCTCGCTGTGAGCTCATTTCCCTTCTTAGCTCTATTACTTGATCCCTGGTGATTCATTGCTTGAATCTGTCACAAAAATAGCAGTGTCCTGCTGGTTTTAAAAGCCTCTCCTTTATATGGAGGGTAGTTTTTAAGCATAAATGCCTCAAGGAAGGACTGGATACCGAAATATCAGCATTTGGAAATGGTGCTGTTTGTACAGAAAAACAGCACCACACGCTGACTTAGAAACCGAGTAGCATGACGCTCCCGCAAGAGCTTGTTTATGCTGGAATTTTCAAGTTTATTAGATTTGTCTTTGTATTTCTAGTTTTGTATTTTCAGATTCGTTACATCAGGAGCTGGGTTTTAGTAGAAGTGCAGAATCAGTTAGTACCTTCCAGTATGTAAAGAGGAGAAAAGCAGTCATGATCTGTACTGAGAAGAATGTTCCCTGCGTTCCCCTTCCCTTCTTGTCTTAGGCTACTTTAGCTGCTGCGAGTAGAAAACAGGTGACTAAATCCCTCCTGGTGACAATGAACTCGTGGCAATTAAATCGTGCCGTGGTCTCTGCTTGTCTTTGCTTCTCAGATGGCAAAGCTTAGAAATTGTGTTTGATGCGTCTTTTCCCTCTAACTCTTTCCTTGCACCTTACAGAGCCCCTTCCTTGTAGTCATGTAGGGTAGATTGCTCTTACTTCAGAACTTTTTGAAACTTATTTTGGAATAGTTCTGGGAGTTGGCATTTGCATAGGAAAGCTTCTCAGGATTTGAAGAACAGAGAAGGTACAGAGTAGAGGGAATCACAGGATTTCTGCTGAAGAGCTGTCTATAAACGTGCTTCTACAAAGTGGCTGATGGAAGTAGCCTGTGCTAGTACAGACTAGTTTTTCATTGTCCAGCACTTCCAAAACCGCTGCTACAGCTGTCACTGCTGAAGCCTCAAAATTTTTCAGTTTCAGTCTTAGTGCGTTTTTCTTGCAGTAACAAGATTTCTACTGATTTGCTAGTTTATTCTAGACATATAATTTATACATGACAGGTATAAAATCAGAATTCAAGAGAGACTGTCAGAGACTTCCAAAATTAAATTAGAGCTTTATGGCATGAACATTAAGGTTCTGATTTGAGTTTGTGTACTGAATCTTTGAATGTACAAATGTCCCAGATATTCTTGGGAAGACCCTGGATGTGGTGATGTTATTAACTTCTGCCTTTTCTACTGAATTGCACAGGGGAAAAAATGTGGTTGGAAAGGCTCTCCAGAGGTCGTCTAATCCAACTTCTTGCTCAAAGCAGGGTGAACTTCAAGCTAGAGAAGGTTGTTCAGGGCATGGTCCAGACCAGTTTTTAATTTATCCGTGGTCTGAGATGTAAGAACCCATCTGAACAACCTGCTGCAGTGTTTAACCACTCTCTTTGTGAAAGCTTTTTTCCTTTCCTTTCAGAATTTTATGTCCACCCATCCAGTCTATATCTCCCCAAATTTTCTACAAGGATGCTACTGGGAGACTGTCAAGAGACTTGGTAGATTCAAAGTAGACAGCATCCCTGTTCTCCCCGCTTGTAAACACAGCCGAGAGATAATTTTGTACATGTGATAGGGCACACAGAAATCCTCAAGTAGAATTTAATATACACAGCTACTCATTTCAGTCATGGACCAAAAAACCTCAACCCAAAACCCAGCACCCCTCCCTGCAAATACATTATGGAAGAAAATGTTCATTGGTGATAGTGCACAACACTGTGAATACAGAGTTCCACAACTCTTGGACATACAAAATCTCATGTGACAGAGTTGAATTAGGTGCACAATTGCTATAGGGTTTTTTGCTTTTAGGAATTATATACAGGTTGGGAAAGAGCTTAGAATACACTGGTAAAGTTTCGTTGGTAAGTCTGCAGCTAAAGCTAGATTGGTTTGGGTTTTTTTCATGTGTGCTAGTTAACAAAGAAAACTAGAGTGCTAATAAAAATGTGGAGTACAGAAATTAATTGCTAAAATTTAATTTTCAAATTATTTTCAGGCCTTGTCCCTTCAGAGGGGTCACAGCTGCTCGGCTCTGAATTACTGGTGTTCCCCCTTCCAAATTTTCTGATCTTTTTATTTTACAACAGAAGCCGTAAGCTGTGGTATATAACTATAAACTTGAGCACTGTAAACATTTTCCTCATGGACTGTTGAGTGTTGTCACTAGCTTTTGCTATCAGACTTGTTTAGGAAGTTTTGTGTTGGACTCCAGTCTGATTTGTCAGTTTTTTTGTGATGTTTAAGCAGCCAACAGTAAGGCTCAAGGCTGTTACCAAGTATTAATACCGAAAGCCTTTCAGAACGTTCCAGAAAAGGAAGCAGCAACTATCCATTATGCATTACAGATGCATAAAGGCATCTGAATTTCCATTGCCCGTTATTCATCTTCAGGCTAAAAGTTTTAAGCTGCCTTTGAAGATGTTGCAGGAGGCTGTTGTGAAGACTAAAGAGCTAACTTCTCCTTCGCCAAAGCTTCCTTTTGTTTTCCAGTGAAGCACTGCCTTAAGCTCACCTCCAAAGCTTGTTATCCATATCAGTCCTCTTTCCTTCTTCTTTTCCCTCCTCTTGTTTTCATAGAGTATAATAGTCTACATAAGTGTTCATGTTCAAATATCTGTGGCCTTCATCCTGCCCCGGCAGATAAGTTAATGCACCCAGGTTTTCACTCTGTCACCATGGGTGACCCTTTCAGATTAAAATGTGACCTTAATTTTTTGTTCAGTTAGGTTTTTCATAGCGACTCTTGCACCTGTTGCTTCAGGTATGAGTAGTTAGCTATGGTAACTAACTTTGTAGGGAGGAAGAGTAGTATGTTTAAGGTAGCCTAGGGAGGATGGCAAAAATCTTCACATTTCTATGTAGACTGAAGGGAGATATTGTTTTTCCCAGCTACGTTTCCCTTGATTTTTCCCTTTTAAGAAACTTAATACTCCATGATAGAGGGTCAAAAATAACAATTTGATGAGAAACAAGTGTAATGTAACTATACCTGTCTTGCTTTTATCAGATTCTGTAAAACAGTGAGTGTATAACCAGGTACTGCTGAATCAGGTAAAGTCCTGTTATCTTCCGTTTCTAACGGGTACTTTTTGAAAGGTGGGTAAGGCTGAGGGAGGGGACGGAGCAGCACTAAGGAAATTGGAGAAGGCACTTTAAGAGGCTGTAGTTGCCCTGCTTCTTCTAATACTGCTCTTCTAAAATGTTGACTGTGAAGTGAAGTCAACCCTGTGCATATATTGAACTCTTCTTCTTCCTTGCAGGTGACCCAGTGCAGTGCAGTGCTTGGGTGGGCCAGTGTGCGCTCTACATAATGATTATGACATTTGAGAAAACCGTCATCATCATAGTGCTGCTTATACCTCAGTGGAAGGAGGTTTGTATTTTTACTGCGTTTTACAGACACAAGAGTTTCAGGTGGAAGCTGGAAAGTAATAGACTTGTAATAGTGTTCTTCAGGTTGGCTCAGGCATCGTACCTGTCTGCAGTCAGTGCCCTCTAACTCTGCGCTAGTGGTATGTTCTCGTTAGGATACTGCTGATTCAGCTTTCTGGCATCATATTTGGAGAGGTTTTATATACTGCAGTATGTAAAATCTTAGGCTGTCTGAGTGCTCTTGATGCTACGAAGTGGTTCTTCCTTTTCTTAATTCTTTAGCCCTTACTTACGGCTGTCTTGTATTGCTTCTTGTGGTATTTTAAAGAATTTTCTATACGTGACATTGTTGATAGATCTAAACTGTAGAATTTTAGAAATTTGCAAAGGATTAGTGAAGCCACTGCGGATGTCTGGATAAATGTTTATTTTGCTAGAATTTGCGCAGTGTTACACTCAAAGTGATGGTGCGTGGGGTTATAGCCCATTACAACCAGTTAGTCCCTATTGTGTGCTCTGGGAACTGTCTTATCCTTACTGTGTATTCTGTAAAACGGTTTAAATCTTCTAAAGATGGAACTTTAAGCATGTTGCTGGCGAGCACGCAGCTCTAAAATGTTCAAGACGAGTCTAACGCAGCTCTTCAGACTTCTGTAAACAAAAATGACAACGATAAGTTTCTTGCCAGCCCCACTTACTTATCTGTGGTAATTTATAAGCTGCCCTAAGTACTTTCCTTTTCTACAGAGCTGTCCTTTTTTGGTTTATATGAAGTATTTCTGCAGTGTTAGCTAGTACGTGAACAATTGCGCTTACTAGTCCAGTTATGTGCACGTGCTGCCATGATCTGAACTTAATCCTTTTCTTTTCACAGGTAGCTTTATTGAATCCTATAGAGAACCCCCAGTTGGAGCTGGCTATCGTCATGCTGATAGTTCCCTTCTTTGTTAATGTTAGTACAACTTGCACGCTTCTCTGAGATGTTTACTTGGATATCTGTCTGCCGTGTGTTCATTAACGTTAGTCCTTAAAGCGCAGTGTGCCTTGGTGCTCGAGTTAAGTTTTAAAGGGGAAGGATGTTGAAGAAAGGATAAAATGTCTGGTTATGTAGATCTTACAAAGCTGAAATCCATACTGAGCCAAGAAACCAGGCTCAGCAGAGGTGCTGAAATGCGTCACAGACCCCTTTGGCCTGATGACTTCAGTAGATGGAACGTAATACTGAAATACAGACACAGAGATTATATAACGACAATGAAATCTGCTTCAGGGACCAGCCGGTCTAAGCGTAGCTGTAGTGTGAAGTGTCCCATGTCCGACCGCAGCTAGCAGTGCCTGACTTGTGATGGAGCAGAGGAAGAGGGCAAGTGCACAGTCATCCTTCCCAAAGTCAACTCTTCCAGCAGTCTGGGATTTAGGGGCTAAGAGCCAGAGGTGGTGGGTGTCCTTGCATTTAATAACTGCTGGTGACTTTTTTTGTCTTTCATTTATTTGTTCAAGCATGGGTTTTATCCTTTGAGAACTGAAAGTCTGTTGCACTGAAATGTCTGCCTAAACCCTTCACATGTCTACATCCAGAGTTAACACACGATCACTTTTCTTACCTTCGTCTCTTCTGCAGAGGAACAAAGTAGCTCTGTTCTAGCGCAGCCGTGCAACGCGTAGTAAACCATGTGAGCGTATGCTTTTACAAGGCACTTACCTATTTGGCCAATTCAGAATTATTGTCGAGTTTTCTTAACTGTCCAAACATGGACCGAACGAACATATGCTGCTGCTCTGAGGGAGACTGAACTGTCACTTCCCCCTTCTCTTTAACAGGCATTAATGTTCTGGGTTGTAGATAATTTTCTTATGAAAAAAGGGAAGACAAAAGCTAAACTTGAAGAAAAGGAAGCAGGACAAGATTCAAGAAATGGAAGTAAAGTCCGATACAGGAGAGCAGCGTCGCATGAAGAGTCGGAGTCAGAAGTATGTAGAGTGAATTACTGCAATATTGATCCAGTTCATCCCTCATGCCATTGATTTCGCTGTAACACTGCCAACTTAGCCTTGATTTTCTTTGCCTGCACCTCTGGCAGCAGTTTCTAGCACCGGGAGTTGAAAACCAGTTCAGAAAAATGGCATTGTTGCACCACTCATGGCAGTTAATTCCCTTCCAGATGGACAGGAAGACATAATAATGTATTTAATTATAACAGGGGAAGTGTGTTACAAATGCTTCTGAAAAAAGCCACACAGAATATAAAACTAGCAGACAATTGTAATTCAGAGAGGGGTTAATGGGTTAAAGTGAGAGGAAGCTGATGGGGGCAATGGCCTGGTTTTGGAGAGATATTTACAACCTTGCCTGGGCATCGTTTTTTATTATACATTCTATTAAGTGGGCAGTTTTCGGTTCAACCGAAGGACGGGAGGTGTCTCTGAAGGTAAGTTGGTTTAGCTGTAGTCAGTTAATGTTGATTTTCTGCGTTCTAGGCAGCACTGTTTATATGGGGTTCTCTTTACAGAATGACTGCCGTGTTACCAGTGTGGGCAGAGAGCTTTTGTGTTCTCACTCACTTCAACAGCAAGCTGCCCCCACTGCTCTGGAGGTGCTGGGATCGCTTCTTCGGGTTTAGAGACAGTGACTGTCGCAGAGATGAATAGGCATGCATCCTGCAGAATTTACTGGGGGTTCCAGATAGGATGCGGGACGTTTGATAGTACTGGCAGTAAATCCAAACCGTGCTCTCTGAGCTCGCTCTTGAGCAAACGGTCAGGTCCTTTGCAAGCGTAAAAGGTTAAAAATGGGATGCAGAAAGAGTGCGACTTCGATCCATGTTACTCAGAAGCCATAATCTGTTTTTAGATCCTTATTTCGGCGGACGATGAGATGGAGGAATCGGATGCTGAAGAGGACCTGCGTAGACTGACCAACTTGAAGCCCATTAAGAAGAAGAAGCATCGGTTTGGTCTGCCTGTATGACGCGTTCCCTGGCCTGTGCATCTGCAGGTTTCCTGGCCAAAACTTCAGTCAGTGGGTTTTAATGTTGCAATTGCATCTCCCGCTTCATCCAGACTGACTCAAAAGCAAGGCCGACCGACGGGATGCGGACGGTTGGAAGACTTCCAGTTCAGTTGCACTACAGACACACTGACCAATTATGCAAGAATGTCTGTTCGTGGTGGGTGCAAAACGCCGTGTTGGTAAGGATGCGTCGCCGGCAGGATTTGTGTCTGACGTTGCGGGGCAGATCCTGGAGAACAGACGCAGCGATCTTTCACTCGCGGTGACTGATGATACCGTTTAAGAGGTTCTCAAAAAGGCATCAGCATCAACTAAGTTAAAGGAGTGTGTTTTATTACTAAAACTGGCTTTTGCAGCAGAATTCCTAGAGCAGAATAGTTTATGGTTACAAGCTGTAACTTAACGTTATTTTTTTAAGTACAGATGTTTACTTGCTACCGGGTACCTATGGAACTAATAGGTGGAACAAAGATTTTTTTCCAAGTCTCCTCAAATCTATTTGACTATTTTATATTTAAGTTATATTTTCATACAGGTGTATTTAAGATTCTCTTTGTCAGAGAAAAGGGAGCAGTTCCCTTTTTTTGTGCAGAACAGGTCAAAAGATTTGTAGTGAAATATCTTATTTATCCTTGTGTCCTGGTTTAAGACAAAGGGAAGAGCTTTCTGTAACTGCTGAAGTCACCAAATATCACTAAAAATGCAGTCCTAAGTGTGCTTTTGACCACGTAATTTGAAAACACCTTTTTTTAATAGGAGGTGGTGGTTGCATATTTGATGAACGTGCACTTTAGTGTATAACGAAAATCTGTTGTGATAGATTATTGGTGAACTGAGTATCTATGGATGGCTATTTCCACAGCTCACTTGTGGATACCTCTCGAACAGCCCGGAGGAGGTGGAACATTCCTTATACCTTTCCTTACACAGGGCCTGCAGTACAGGGCCGTGATCTGATTGAAGCAGTGCTACAGCAGTGCAAAGAATTCTGCCCCTTGTTTTCTGTTGGAAAAGCAATCTTCTATTTAACATGCTTAAAAAGAAAAATTATCCTGTTTAATTTCCATAAAGTCCGATTATCCTTTAATAGTTAAAAACCCCAAAACCCTGAGAGGTATAATGCAGTTGTTACTAAAGGATGGTTTTGATTTTCAGTGTCTGTCTTCTGAAAATTGACGACTCGTGCAGGTCTGAAACCTAGCAGACATGTTTTCAGTGACATCCCTTTGCTTTGCGTATTTTTCTAAATGATTGTTTCCGACAGCTTTGCTTGCGGAGTCAAACCTCGTGCGGGACAAGGTGATGTGTCAAAGAGGTGACAACAGACCTTCACTGCAAATCTGTTGTGTCTGGACATCGGAAATGTTCTACGCCTTAAACCAAACAGTTTCATTGGAAAACTGCTCAGAACTTTTTAAGATTTTTTACATTTTTTATAGATTTACTAGGTCTTAATGGGATTTATTATCCAGACCACTTAAATGGGCCTTAGTAAACACTGAACTGTGCGCTCCCGTACTTACTTTCACTATTCCAGCATTCCTTTTCACTGCTTGGCTGCCGGGGGGAACGCCAGGCTCTGAGATTTCAGGTGCACCTCGGCGTGTCCGGCCGGCCAGAAGGGACATTTTACCAAACCGAACGTTTGCGAGTTTAGTTGAGCCACTGACCTTTGTTACTGTGCACTGAGATGTAATAACTGCAATAAGTTTTAAGTACAAGTGTTTCTTTTAGGCTAAAACTAGAAACTAGTGACAACAGAAGCGCGATTGAGTTATTCTGAGATGGGGGGTGGGGAGATGGGGAAATGTCCCTAATCAGTGTTGCCTCTTTTTTAGTTTTTGGGGGTTTTTTTTCATTGATTGTGTGACTTTCATCTTCTCTTGACTATGTACCACTGGGCGGGCGCATATCTCCAAAAGCACAGTACTTCAAGGAACTCATTTTCATCAGCAGAATAGTCTCATGCAGCTCACTTTTCCAAAGGAGTTTAAGAGCTGGGACTGGCTCTTGTTGCAAATGTCAGCATTTATTTTTTTAGCATAGGATTTGTTCTATTTCAGCTAGTGAAATAAAAGCTATTCAGCATGTGCTACATACCACTGCGCAGCCATCACTGTCCCCGTCAACCATCAGAGAAAACTGAGCAGCGCACACAAATTTAACTGTACGAGCTTTCCTTTTATCTTCCTTTCCCTCTTCTTCTCCAGTTACTTAAATTATCAAAATGATTTCTATTCCTGGTCTCGTGTTTAGTCTGTGAAGTGTCAGTATGAAATTATGGCCTTAATCATGTCAAAATACTTGTTTTGAGCAGACCTCAGACTTGCTGATCGAGTACAAAACAGTGTAAAGCACTATGGAGCAGTTTCTTGAAGGTAGTTATAGCACAGGTATATGAATGCCTAATTTTTCACGTCTTAAGTGCTTAAATGTCACTTGGTTTGAGATTTTGATATGCCTAGCAAGATGATGTAGTAAAGCACTGTGAGCCAAAGAGACAGAAGTATTTTTAATACCACAGTAGTAACAGGAGGAGCAGATCTTGAGAAGGGAAAAAATGGCTCTAACTTTCTCTACCAAGATAAAAAATGGATTCATAACCCTAGTCAAATAACAAAAACCGGGGTGGTGTTTTTTTTTTTTTTATTCATTCTTTGCTATCGTGAAAGAGATGGAAAATGTAAAATGGGCAGCTTAAAAATTAGAGTTCTTGCAGTAGGTACAAGTAGGACAAGTGCTCTTGACTGAAGAGCTTGAGTGTGTGAGAAGGAAGTGTGTGCCTGGTGCTTCACTATGTCTTACTGTTCGTTGAAATGAATTGGCAGTGCAGTCTGAAATAAATTCCTCCTCAAGAGTTGGACCAGTAGTAATCTTACACCACGACGCCGTTTGCGTGATCCTCACATCGGCGCCCGGTGACCGTATTTCAGGACGACTCATGGCAAAGGCTTGGTTCAGGCTGTGCTTAAAAACCCGGGATTCTGGCAACGTCAGAGAAAGGGGTTGGAACTTAGAGAAGTGACGCAGAAGTATCGGTAGGGATCAAATTTACCACAGATGCTCAACCTACGTGTATTAACTGTTTCTAGTATCCGACCTGTGACACATCTGCATAAACTTAAAACACTGCTGGCGTCTGATCCGTGATTTTTCAAGTTCTGGCTTTATTACGTTCAGGTCCCCTTGTCTTACTTTAAGTAGGTAAATGCTGTACGTTGATGTTGCTAACTAAAATGTACTATAGCTTTTCTTCAGGGAAAACTCAGAAACTGAGTTGCAAATTAGAGCAATGCAAAGTGATCCCCTCTGCAGGCGGCTGCTCCGATTCCCGCTGCGCCTGGGGAGGGAGGCGTGGGCTCGCGCTCTGCTGGGAGCGCGGCCTCGCGAGGGATTTCTGCCACTGTGCTTGACTAACCCGTGTTTGCAACTTTGCTGTGCTTTTTACAGGAGAAACCGGTAATGAGAGCGAACAAATTCGGCCACATCCAGTCAGAGTAGATCTACAGCATAGGCGTGCAAACTTCGTTAGGTAAAGTTTCCAGTTCACTTACTGAAAATGACTACTATGGTTTTACAAAGTAAAACTGCAGTGTCTTTAAAAAAGGGACTTTTTGTAGGTGTGTTTGTCTCGCGTGGGTATCCGTCTCGAACTGAATGTTGGGTGTGTTTGTCAGTAAGTTCGGAGTGTAGCCTATGTGAGCAAAACCAACAGCTGTATTCTGCTGCCCTCTGTTTGGACCATGTTGTTTAATCCGTGGTGTTACCTTAAACTTTGAAGGGTATATCTGATGTAATTACGTTGTATAATGGTTTACAATAAAGTTTGACTTATTACAGATTTGCACACTGACTGAATGTTGGGTGTGTTTGTCAGTAAGTTCGGAGTGTAGCCTATGTGAGCAAAACCAACAGCTGTATTCTGCTGCCCTCTGTTTGGACCATGTTGTTTAATCCGTGGTGTTACCTTAAACTTTGAAGGGTATATCTGATGTAATTACGTTGTATAATGGTTTACAATAAAGTTTGACTTATTACAGATTTGCACACTGGTGCTTGTTAGCGTGTTCCGGCGTTCATGATGCGCGGCTGTGGGAAGCAGGTCTTCTGCTGGAGTTGAACTTCAGAGCTGCAGGCGCAGTTGTTGGCGCTTCTTCGGCTTTGTTGGCCTACGGAAAGGTACCCCTGGGCTGCAGAAACATTTCCAGTTCACTGAGCCGTGGGTTTAACACACAAATTCAGCATAAGGAGTGGCTTGGCACGTCACCCCCGAACTGTGTCTTAACCTACAAATAGTCGACCCGATAGTCATGACAAGAAAAACCTCTTTTCTTCTCAGGAAAGGGTTCAGGCAATATGGGCATCTGGAGGCCTTGGGGAGACAGTTCCCAACTGCTAAATCCCATGGTCCGATCCTGCGGCGCTCGCGCTGTGGGACTGATGTAGTGCTTTCCTAAGGGTTATGTTCTACCTCCCGTGCCTCTCTCTAGCCCCCGCAAAGCACAGGTGGGGCTTGTGGAGAGGCCGGGGCAGATTTCTGCCGCTGCAAGTGTCAGTCTTCCTGGGAGAAGGTGTTGGGAGGTCCCCCACATCTGCCTTCCTCGTATCAACATGCCCGGCTGGAGCTGTGGTTCTGTGGAGGCGTTGAATGCTGTCACAGAGGCTGATTATTTTTTTTGTATGATGCAAAGAATTAATGTAAACAAATATAAAAACGGAAACAACCCCCCACCCAATCCTCTCCCAGTACTAACAGAAATTAATTCATGCTTAGAGTTTGGGGGTTTTAAGTGTTTAATTAAAATGGGTTAGAGAAGGAATGTTGGAAGTTCTGGAAAATGTTTTACTGCTGTCGGCATGTGCGGGGGGGAAGCCTGAATTTCTCTGTGACGGGGGGAGCTGCTCCTGTACAGGTGACGGGTGACAGGAGTAAGCTTACTAACAGTGCTGTAAGTGGGAAGTGATTTCACGGAGTGGTGTCAGAGCAAGCTCAGCAATAGGGCTGTAAGGTTAAAAACATATCCTGTGTTAACTCTCCTAAAAGCACAAAATACTCTCCTGATAAAGATCCCGGAGCAACAGCGATTTCGGGCACAGTGTTGTGCTTCTGATGTTGGGTTTGCGTAATCTTTAGACGCTGCCTATTTGCTTACAATGGGAAAGAAACAACAGCTCCCTTTTTGTGTTCCCTCCGTCAAGAGGATTCCAAGTCAATTTTGCGTCCATAGCGCAGTTTTGCCTTTTAAAGTTATAAATAGAGCCCTGACGGACTCCTCCTGGGAAGAGGTTTTGTAGTGGCGGGGGCTTCTCTCCCCCGCGGCGCGCCTGCCACAGCTGTCTGCTCTCGTCAGCCCCGGCTCCCTCCGTCCCCCCGCGGGTGCCGCACACCCTGCTCATCGCTAAGAATAAACCTTTCGACAACAACAGCCTCTCTGGGCCGGAGTCATCCCGGCTTCTGCTTTGGGAAAGTGACCCGGCTAATGACTTCATGTGCGATGCTCTATATAAGGTCGAGGAAAACACCAGGCGTTGGCAGAGCTCACAAGCTGGATTTAATCAAAGCCGGGAAACGACCTCGGAAGGGGTAGCCGAGGGAGCGCCGCAGTTATGTCCCAGGTACGGGAGATGGGCGTGAGGCTGGCTTCGTTTGGGCAGGGTGCCCCGCAAGCGTGCCGCCGGTACAGGCGGTTTGCTTAGCTTTGGAATAGCTTATTAATAAGCTATTAACAATAAGCTTTGGAATAGTTTATTAGCGGGTTACTCTCGTTAACCAGTGACCTTGGCTCTTCTCTGTGTGACTTGTTTGGTTGTGTTGACGTGTTTAAACACTCTGTTCGTATGTTTTGACAAGTTGGAAGGAGGGATTATTGTATGGACGAGGAAAGCAGTTGCCTTCCACATGGTTGATTAGTTTTAAAATGTACTGGTTTACCCTATTTTTATTCCTGTGGGAAGGGACCAACCATTCCCGCTGCCCTGGTTTGGGATGTTTCACAGGAGGAGCGACTTCTGCTTTCTCAGACAACCATTAGAAATTTTGGCAGTACTTTTGGAAGGGTGCGGCTGTACTGACGCCTGCTGCTCCGTAAAGCTTAACGTAGTAACACACAGGAGAGGGGAGAGCGTGACTGAGAATTCTAAGTCAGGATATGCTCTTTGAGACTCAAATTTTGGGTTTGATCACTTTACATTTTGTAACTGACGGTTTAGTTTTACTGTGTTCCCCGATAAGTGTTTCAAAGAGATCTTAACCTCAAAATTTCTGAGCTAATTTTTTCACAGAAGTGTATGTTTTTCAACACAAGCTGCGTGTGCCCGGCAGAGCTCTCCCCAGTGTGAGTTTTAGGTGGTGCGTGGGATGGGGAGTAAGAGCACAGGTAGCTGAGTTATTCTGGTCAAAGGGTTGTGCTCTGTTTGGCTTATTTTCTTTACTCCAAAGAAGAAAAGAGACTGAAACAGCCATGTGTCTTGTAAAGTGACACTTGGACCCGTGGCAGGAGGAGATAAAGCGCAGGCTGCACGCTGTGCCAGCTGGGAATGTCTCCTGGCACACCCTGCTCACAAATGCATTTGTCTTGAGAGCCTTGCGGCTGCGATGCCGGCGGCTGCTGGTGCTGGCAGGTCTGGGGTTCGCCTCTGGCTCACAGCAACCTTCCTCTGTAGCTTTTTAGCTGGGAGCCAACTAATCCATAGAAGCCATCCTACTGGAAAATCCACCTGTAATCAAAGCATGAGAGGTTTTATTTTAATATAACTGGGTGAAATGGAAGGGTTCTGCTCAGCCTGGCTGTGTCTTGGTGCATCTCAAGTGCTCCTTTTCTTACCCAGCCCCAGGAAGTCCCTTGTCCGGGTGGAAAGAAGCCTCGCGGTTCTTGGCTCTTGCCGGTAATGGGTGAAGGGCCTCAGCAGGTTCCGTGTTCCTGTTAACAAACCAAGGGGGTTGTTCCCTTTCCGTGTTGAAGCCAACACAGGTCGGTCCTGGCTGCCTGTGACCGTGTCATGGGCGGACCGTTCCCATCGCAGGCCAGTTCTCATTACAGACAGGCGAGCGGAGCCCTGGCTGTAACCGACCAAAGGCCATTGTGAGCTTTGAAGGGTTTGCCACCACCCTTTCCCCCTGCTTGCTTTGGCTACTCACGGAGCGCTTTCCCCAGAGGTCTGGTGAATGTTTTGTTTCCCGTAACACATGCGAACAGGATTGACAGCGAGCTATTCTGAGCGTTCCCGGGAATTTACAGCCGGCGGGAAACATGCCGCAGGCTCCAGTGCAGCCGTCCCACCCCTGCCAGGAGCCAGGCATGCACACGCTGTCTCTGCAAGCCCCCCGGGACCTGCTGCTCCAGCCATTCGCAGGCCTTGAGGGAATTTTTCCCCTCCGCAACTGTTTTTAGCTTTACAGGCAGTGCCTAGGAACGTACAAGTGGGCTCACTGCTGCCAGAACCCAAAAATCACAACCCCCCCGTATGTAGCGATGGTCAGAGAAGTTTCTCGAAGGCTCGGTGTGCGAATCTGTTAAAAGTTGGAGTGTGCGGGTCTTCCAATCTCTTCGATCGTGTCTCCTGTGCCCCTGCACCCTGCCACGAGGTGGGACCTCGGCAGTCTGTCCTTGGAAGAGTAACCTGAAGAGGGAATGTTCATGGTGCCGATTGACGTTGTGTCTGACTCTGAAGTGCTGATTGAATGGCCGGAATAGGCTGATGTGATCCCGTGCTATCCTGATTTTCGTGTAGCAGGATAAAGTGCAAACAGATTAGCACTTGGACCTCCCAGTGCACCACCTGATTCATCTGTTTCTGTATTAGATTTCCTTCTCCTTCTTTGGGTTCAGAATCCAGTGTTTCAGGTGTGTTTGGAACATGCTTGTAGCCAACGCTGTTGAGTGCTCAGACACTTCTCTTCCCTACATTTCAGATCGGTAACTATGGGACAAGTGTTAAGTTTATTCCAACTAAATCAAGGCAGACTTTGGAATCTGACAAATTTCTTAACGAAGTAGTGAGTAGACTGAGGCTGTACAGTCAGAAGACGTTTTCAGAACAGTAATAGTGGCAACAGCTTTTGGGAAGGACAGGTAAAATCATGGTTGTGCAAAGATCTGGAGTAGCTGAATGTATGGCCTCATGACATAGTGGAGTATTGGATGAGCAACCCTCTGTATGTAAAGGCAGCTTTGTTCCCGGTGTGTCTGAAACACTGATGTGTGGGCAATACATCTCTCTCTTAGCCAGCCCCTGTGAAAAAGAAGCGCCCTCCGGTGAAGGAAGAAGACCTCAAAGGAGCCAGAGCAAACCTTTCCAAAAACCAGGAAATTAAATCCAAAACCTACCAAGTGATGAAGCAGTGTGGTAAGTCTCCTTGATGGAAACAATTAAGCAGTCTTCCAAAGTAAGACATCAACTTCATCAGGACAGGGTGCGCCTCCAACAGAGCAGCCAGCGGTGTGCTGGCTGTGCCCAGGCTTTGCGTCCATCGTCCTGCGGGTGCCAACAGGGCTGTGCCTGGGGTGACCGCTCTGCCTGCCTGGGCAGAGCCTTGCTTTCTGCGCCGGGCTTCACACCAAGCCCAGGGCCCGCAGTCGGCCTCAGTGACTGCCCGTGTTGAGAACTGGAGGTTGGTCATAGAACATGGGATTTCTGACCTCTCAGATGAATTGGATGTGTTTGAGGTGAAACAAAAATAGGGGAGAGATAAAGGACAGGAGGTGAGAGAGAAAAGGGTGGGTGCTTGCTCTGACAACCCTGGTGCTCTGGTTTTGTTTGCTTTTCCAACACCAGTGGGAGAGTCCAAGGGAAAATGATTAATTTTAACCCCTTCTCAGCACGATAGCCTGAACCTCGGTAGATCCCAAGTTTCTGAAACACCTTGCAGGGATTTCTAAAGCACCTTGCCAGCCACTGGTAGTGACCACCTGCAGGTGCTGTCAGCCGCCCCGTCCTTGGAACAGGAGTGCTGTGTTTTTAAGGTTTGGGGAGCTGATGGGAAATTAAATGTTTATCAAATATGTTTTAGCAGCGCTGGTTTTAGTCCTCGGATTTGTTGTGCTACGTCACTGATTGTTTCTCCTGGTTTTCTTTTCAAGAACAAATGGGCTCTGCAGCACCCTCCATATTCAGCCGGGATCGGACAGGGGGTGAAACAGTCTTTGAGAAACCCAAAGAAGCGCCGGCCAAGAGTGTCTTTGGCTGACGGCGGTGATGGATGTGTCTCACCCAGATGGTTGTTGTAATGTTTTCCCAGATTTCTGCCCCTTACACTAAACTCGCTGTAAACTTAAATAACTGATTTCTACTGCAAGTCATTAAGTAGGGGATAGGTTCATGTCAAAGGGTACAACTTCCACATTAATTTTTATTATGCACTTTCTTTTTATGTGTTGATCGGTGTTCACTATAATGGTTTAATAAAAAAAAGGCGGTTGGACACAGCTTGGCACACTGTGGCGACTAATTTCAGTTTAGGCTTAGCTTAATCCTGAGGACACTTCGGCATTACAAGCTATGATCTAGTCTGTCAAACGCAAAGAATAAACATCCAGATGGCACAGTTTTAGCATTGGTGCAATTTCTTCACGGCGTGCCCTTGCCAGGAGGGAGCTGAGGGGAAGGGGCATCACAGAAACCTGGAGACATCACCCAAATCTGGGCTGACTGCAGCAGCGCCCTGGTGAGCCCCCTCAGGGCTGGGGCCTGCCATGGGCGCAGCCTCCCTCAGCTCTCCCCTCACGGGCTTCCCCTCATATCTGTCCCTCCCCTCATGGCCATCCCCTCACGTCTCCCCCCTCACAGCCGCCTCCTCCTATTTCCTGCCCTCATGACGGCCTCCGCTTCATATATCTCCCCCCTCATGGCCTCCCCCTCGCAGCTCCCAGGGAAGCAGTGCTGCCATTTCCCTGTGCACAGCTCAGTCTGTCCTCCCCCGAGCCGAGGGAAGGCTTCCAGCCCGTTCCCCAACAGCTTTTTCCTCACATCATGGAGGCCAGGTAGAAGTGGGGGGCAGAGCGTCAGTACACACCACATCCCACTGCCTGAGGCGCCCAGCACCCCCGAGTGCTGCTGTACGACAGCAGGCCCGCGCTGAGGGGAAGGTCTGTCTGCGACTCGTTCGCGTCTTGAGCTGCTGCGCTGAGTCAAACCCCTTTTCCCCTGTGCTGGTAAATGGGAGTATTTCCCCTCAGCTGGATCCCTGTGGTGGTAAATGGGAGTATTTCCCCTCAGCTGGATCCCTGTGCTCAAACATGGACGATCTGCTCTGCTGGCACCTTCCCACACCCCTCGCGTCTGGGAACAGTGAGGTAGGTGACACCTTTATTTAAAGAATTCCTTCCGTTTTGCACAGGCCAGACCTGATGAATAGGTGAAGGTGGTATCAAAGGTCTCTGCACTGTGAAGAATAACGTCTTTGCCTTTTGTGTCCCATACACGCGATGGGTAAAACCTGCCGCCATCCATGAAGCTCCCAGAGAGGCTGCAGGGCGGGACACGCGTAAGGCAGCAGCAAATCCTTTGTGTTTAAGGGACAGATTTCCGTGGAAAAAAAAAAAGATAAAGGTACCACTGGCGGTGTTATTTGTAGCCAAGTCATGGCCTCCTCTTTCTGCTGGTCACTGCTGCTCCAAAGGGCCTGGGCTCGGCACAGGCAGAGCCTTTCGTCTGAGACGGACTCCTTCCAGAGCTTTGAAGAGGATAAAGAAAACACAAAATCCCACTGTGGAAAAAGGTTCGTGCCCCAGTAACCCCGGACCTGTGCTTGCATCAGGTTTAACAAGCCCTCCTTCATTTCATCTGTGATGAGAGGTTGGCAGGAGGTTGTTTAATAATTAGAAAAATTATGAAGAGGGACAAGTGGAGCAAAATGTTGTTACTGCTTTCTTTTATACGCTACAAGGGACCGAATATTGCAAATTTACTGGTGTGGGTAACAGGAGGGAGGTGGGTGCTGTATTTCAGACTCAGCTTCGGGCACGTTGGTGTCAGTTTAGCAAAGCACATGAACCCCTCTGCCCCACAGACTTGCGGTGTGGGTGCGGCAGGCATGTGAAGGAAGTTAGCTACCAAAAACCTGGGTTTTGCTCACAGCTTTGTTTCCAGGATGTTCAAATATTTGTGATCCCGGTATGACAGTAAGTACTCAAGACCAGGGATCTTTTTAAATTTTTTTGTCTTTGAAGATGGACCTCATCTAAAAAATATGTGTTTGGAGGTGTCAAAGCGTATCCCTGGGACAAAGTGGCTCCCCATTTGTGACAGCAAGGTCTGTGCTCTCCTGTACGGAGCGCAGGAATTCCCTGGTCCAGCCTTGCTGCTGTGCTGGAAAAGTTACTGGCTGCTCCTGTAGGGCAGGAGACACTTGTAGGTGAGAGGAACAAAGGTAAAACTGCCTGGAGAAATTTTTGTCATCTTTTTCTTCATCCTTGAAAATCTAATACGTCACATAATGGAAAATGCTTTTTTTTTTTCCTTCCTCATTTTCATAGTGAGAAATAGTGACAGAGAAGTGTCTGAACAAAGCCTGAGGGTTTGAGTTTTTAGGTCATTTTGCACACAAAAGTATCCCTTGTTGTGATGGTGGATTTAGATCCTTCCTCCAAGGTGATGTGAGGTCCCTTCACAGCGTGTTCGTCCCTCAGAGCTGCAGGGATTGCAGCCCGGTGCACCAGCCGCAACGGGCACTGGAGGTTGGCGGGGATGGCTGTCGCTGCTGCTTTGAACCGAGCCAGGGCAAGGTGCTCCAGCCTGGCGACGAGGCTGAGCGTGACGTTTTCCTGTAGCTGCTTCAGCAAGCCACAGAGGGATGCAGGAGGGACTCCACACCTTCCCCGGCTGCTGGCTGGTTTCACACACCCACGAGTCTCTGCAGTTAAAGCAGCTCTTTAATGTCTTTGTGATTTTACATGAGGGTATTAGAGAACTGGTGGCAGATTCACTTAATGAAAGCTAAAGCTTTGGCTCTTGGGCATCTTAGGCCACTAAGTGTATAATCCTGTGTATTTTAAGGGATTAAAGCATTACACGAGTTGTAGAAGTTGATCAAATGTACAGCAGGTTTAATTTTTCTCTGTTATATACATACTTACCTGTCCTGCTGTAAGCAGTGCAGTATTTGCAAGTAGTGTAAACAATCTGCCTGGAAGAAGTTAAGCTTATTTTTTTAAGAAAATACTTAAAGCACAAGCCCTGTAAGACCAGGCTGTGCTCAACAGACTCTTCATGGTGAACTTGTGTCTGTACAAGTAATAAGTTCTGAGCCCTGCATTAGCATCTCCTTGCCAATCCGAGGCCAATGGAAGCGTGCTCTCCCCTTGGATGCTTTGCCTGTAAAAGGGCAAAGAAGCAAACAGCGGTACATCTATTTCCACTGGATCTTTGTGTTAATTTAGGACAATTGATGGTATCACCTACCGTGGAGATACAAGGGGGAAAATGCTGTCAAAACGCAGCATGAAAAAGTGGTTTTGTATGGCCAGACTGCAGATTCGGTTGGGAAACGGCTGTCTGCTATCCTGGAGCTGCCAGCACGGGGCAGCCTGGCAGGGAAATCACGATGCAGGGGGCAGGATTCCACCTTCGTCTGCTCTGAGCTGAGGGGAGAAGGGGTCCTTCTGGATGGAATCTCTCCACAGCACAGGCAGGTTGCACGTTAACGTACCTGTATAGTTGTGTTCCTATGAGTATGTAGGGGAACAGGGGGCTGATGCAGCAGCTGCCTATGCCAGAGCGATCCTCTCAACTACAGACTGGGGATGTTATTTTTCCTGTTGGTATTTTCAAGATTTCAGACACTTTATTTTCTTGCACTGGGAACGAATGAACAAATGAAGCCCTCTGAATGCTTTCCAGCGAGACAGGCGGGCCCTGGAGAGGTACCCTGGTCACGGGGTGCAACAACGGCTCCGCGACAGTTTGCTCCCTCAGCCCCGTTTCTCACCTTGATTTTCCTAGATGTAGAGCTGAGGCGACAAAAGCTGAGGTCTACCTAAACACCACATGGGAACATGTATTTTAGGAATTATGTTAGTATAACACTCTCCATAATTATTTGTGTACGAAATTGGACTTCTCAGAGAATTTCTCTTTCCAGAGCTACAAGCCAAGCCTTGGGCAGCAAGAACTTCCCAGGAGCTGCTCGAAATCCCTGCTGGGTGAAGATTTTATTGCAAAATAGGCGGTGAAATGAGTCATCCCACTCAGTGTGTAGGTAAATTCAGGTGCAGAGCTCTCCCAGCACTAACCTCCTGGCAAATAGTCCCACTGAACACGTGGGTTAAAGGCAGCTTTGCGGAATCCCCAGCTGGGTATGTCACAGCTGTGTTAGGGCTGGAAAAGGCCAGATGTGCTCCCATGCACAGCTGTTGTGCTGTTTTCTGGGTGGCTTCTGCTTCCTCGTACGCTTACGTTGGCGGACGTGCAGGCACTGAGTTAGCTCCTCTCTCCCTAGGGAGTCCAGACAAGGTCTGATTACTTTGTTTTTACTGTTTAGCTAAAGGCAGCCAAAACTGACTTTGCTGTTTGACAAACGAGGCTTATGGCTTGTCAGAGGAATCAAAAAGGGATGTTTCAAGAGGGCCGCTCTGTACCTCTCGTGGGCCAGTTGGGCAGGGAGGCGCAAGATTTGAAGTCACCAGCTGTAAAAATCTCACGTGAATGTTGCACGTCTCGGCAATTTCCAAACCTCTGAAGTGCTTGGGATAACATTAAGGATGTGCCCTTTCAAATTAATACTGTTGGATAGGGTAGAGATCCCTGCATCAGAAAGTGCAGCTTGTTGCACACACCAGTTCATCTGCCTGTGGGATTTCACGTGCCACAGTGAGATCTAAGTTTAAAAAAGAAAACATGAGGATTCCTTAACTTCATGCATTATAAAACATTAAAATTTTGATGTTTAAGAGCAAACAGCTGTTTGAAAAACAAAGGTTAACAAAGTCCAAATTTTACCTATGTTTAACATGTAAATATTAAGTTTCTGGGTCTCCTCAAAGTCTACATAATATCCCCAAGTACAAGTTACTCATTAACTGATTAAGATAAACCAAGATTTCATTTGAAAATCTGATGTTTCCAAAATGGAGGAGAGAACGTTGCTCTCACTGATGGTCTTCTCCTCACTCGTAGTAATAGCAGAGACTATTGCTCAAAAGGTATTTGCTCTATTTATTTCTTTTTAACAATATCTTATTTGCTCATTTGGTGATCCGCTCAGTAGCCGGCCAGGTAACGCAGGTAACTCCTCTGGTAACCACCACCTGTGGAGCCTCGGGTGTACCGTGTCATGACTTCAGATCTTTGGGTCCTTTTAACACCTTTTTGGTTGTTTGTTTATGCTGTTATAGTATAGATGTGGCGGGAGAACATTACAGATGTGTCCGATCACATGCTTCCCTTGGAATGTAAAATCTGAAATTTGAGGCATCAGTGGGTCTCCTTCGGCCATCAGATGAGGTTTGGATCTGGACACACTGCTGTTACGGATCTTCCGTAACATCTCAGGGTTCATGCTGCTGGTCTTACTTAAAAAAATATCAGTATTAGAGAAGCGGAGGAAGCCTGATGTGTGAAGGATTTTCTTTCCATCAAGCCTCTTCAGAAAAGTGTGAAATGCAACCGGAAAGCCGGTGGGTTTCTGGGAGGCAGGGACGGGTCTTGTGGCTGCTGCAGGGGTGGCCGAGGGCTCTGCCAGAAGCTTTGTATTGAATGGCCATGATTAGCTTGATTAGATTTTGAATTTCAGCCAGCGCTCTAACCAGGTGGCAGCCAGTGGATGCTGTTAATTGGTGAGCAATGAAGAGGAGATGAATTCTCAAAATAACTAAAGGTCAATTAGCCATTCAAAAGATTCGTGAGGCTGGAAAAGTAAAAATAGATGTGTGATGATCTGCTTTGACGTTGAGTTTTTTATTTTAACAAACTATTGGACTATTGTGAGGCTGATGATGTCCAGATCAACCCTTCTTAGCATCACTGCAGAAACACTGGTCCTTTAAAACAGACATCCAAATGCAAAGGAAGGTGTTCAGAGGCAGGAGCTCCAGGCAATTCCCATGCAGCCACCCTGTGGGCTGTTCCCAGGCAGCTCCAGGATGGTGCCTCCTCCCTTGAGCGCTGGGGACCCTGGATGCACCAGCCCAGGAGAAACACAAGTGCTCAAAGGGCATCCCTGCTTGTGCAACCAGGGAGGGGTTGGAGGCCCACACGGGCCTTCAAACCTGCTAAACTTCGTACGTGAGTGAAAAAAATGCAGTAGTGAGCTGATTTTTTTCAGTGAGCTGAAAAACACACAGCAAAGTCAACAGCTGGGAGAGCAAATACAGTCATGCAAAAAGGTACAGCAGGTCCCTTTCCACGGGTTAGCGCTTAGAGAGGAATCGGATTTTTCTGAGGTTAATCTTAGGTGACATATTGGGGTGACAGAGCAGCTGTTCAGAGTACCCTGAGGAGAGGAGGACACAGAAAAAGGCTCGGCAGAAACCTTCTGTGGAACCACAACACAGAGAATGTCGCCGCAGATTTTGCGTGGGGCTGTGGTCGCAGTACAGAGACGTAACTAAGCAGATGGCCAATCTGGTCGTGGACAATTCCCCCTCCCCAGATCCAGCTGGACTTTCTTTCATTCCTTCATCAAACCTTTCCTACCCAGGTAAAGATTTCTTAAGAGCAAAACTGGAGTGGTTTTGTTTCAGCCTGTTTATGATTTTTCCAGCATGCTATCGAAATCTACAGCCTCCACGTGGACAGCAAGGTCACGTCGCGGTTTGCTCACACCGTCATCACCAGCAAAATTGTCAACCGAGCTAATGAGTCGAGAGAGGCGACCTTTGAAGTTGAGCTACCCAAGACAGCCTTCATCACCAACTTCTCCATGTAGGACCAGTCCTTACCTGTGGTGTGAAGAAGGCAGCCTGGGGGGCTGGGGAGGGTTCATCTTTCTACTCAGGAGGTCCTGAGTGAAAAGCACAAAGAGCTGAGCCCTGGAGAGTCCTGCACAAAATGTCCTGGGGCAAAGTAGGCAACTAAATAGAAAGAAGGTACCCAGGGCCAGGGTGCCTGCTGCACAGGGTGGGTGACAAACGGGCTCTGTGGTGGTGTTTCTCCTGCCCCAGCCTCCCTGAGACCCTGCAAGAAGGGCTGTGTTGTGGTGGTGGCTCCTGGCACCCCCCTGGACTGGGAAGGATGTGGGAGCCAAACAGCATCCCCTGCTCATGTCCCGAGGGCCACAAAGAGCAGCAATCCTCTTGTTCCTTTCCCCAACACTTTCCCTCTAATATTAATTAATTAATATGGAATCCAAACAGGTCCATTGATGGCAAAGTATACCCTGGAATAATAAAGGAGAAAGCTTCTGCTCAAAAGGAATATGACACTGCGGTCTCGCACGGGCAGAGCGCCGGCCTCATCAAGTACGTTGCTGTCCTGGGAAAGGCTGCGCCAATATCTTCACTGGCTTCCCGTTTGGCCGGGGAGCAGGTGAAATGCTGGAGCTAGCCACTTCCCAGTGCCGAGAAATGTGAAACCCAGCCTTGGGTTCTCGCTGGGGGGAGGCAGTGTATACATGTATATTCACACCTATTGATGATTTACCTCTGGTGCTGCGATGGGCTTCAGTGGGAGGCGTCACTGTGCAGTGATGCCCTGAGACTCACAGTCACGCGGGAGCACCTTGCCGGGCTAGGACGATGCTCAGCCGTTGAGTCTGCTTCCCCGCATGCACAGAGGGCCACGGCGCTTGAGCAGACATCATGCTTTCGGGCTGTATTTCATTCATGCTTCCCATGGATTCAGACCCAGCCCTGCTTGATCCCAGCCTGGGGCATGTAGGCGCTTCTGGCCCAGTTATCAGCTCGCGTGCACAGCATCCATGGCACGTTTACATAAAGTATGTAATATATATGTAGTATCGCCCACAGTGTTAAAAAAAACCAGTCTTCTCTTGGGTAAGATTTACTGCTACTATTTTGTATTTATTCTCTGTGGCCCCTTGGCCCTTGTTTAGCACATTTCATAAACTTTGGCCACCGCACACAAACCTTCCCTGCAGGAGGTAAAACCCTGTTCTCCCCCGCAGAATCACGGGCAGAAAACTGGAGCAGTTCCACGTGTCCGTCAGCATCGCGGCCGCCAGCAAAGTCACTTTTGAGCTGATGTACGAGGAGCTGTTGAAGCGGCAGCTGGGGAAGTTCGAGCTGCTGATGAAGGTCCAACCGAAGCAGCTTGTTAAGCACTTCCAGGTGAGCTGCCCCGGCAAGGGCTGGGCATGGAGCACCGGCGTGTTTTTCAGGCACGGCTGTGTTTCCTCCGGGATGCTGACACCGACCTCTTCTCCGCTGTCAGATTGATGTGCACATCTTTGAGCCCCAAGGCATACGCTTCTTGGAGACAGATAGCACCTTCATGACAAACGAGTTAACTCAGGCGCTCACCAAAGTGCAGAACGAAACCAAGGTAAAGCAGCAGCTGCCAGGCGTTACTGCCAGCGGCAGCTTTACGTTGTGTTGCTTTAAATCTTTTCTTCCGATTGCTTTGCAGGCTCATATTCTGTTTAAGCCAAGTGTGGATCAACAGAAGATAAACCCTGAACACGACGAAACCCTCCTCAATGGTGATTTTGTTGTGCGTTACGATGTTAAGAGAGGTGCCACGGCAGGTGATCTGCAGGTAAAAAAGAAATAAAAATGCTTTCAGATCACAGATGTGTCTGAATCTGAAGTGTTAGCAGAAAACCAGCAACATTTACTTTGAAACACCGAGAGTGACAAGAAAAGCCATTTCCGTTAGCCCAGGGTCTGCAGGAACTGATGCCAGTGTTCAGTAAAACTCCAAAGACACCAGACACGTTGCAAGAACGGATCATCCATGAAAAAATAAATCAATCTTTCAGATTTTGTTTCAAAACCAAATCTATATTGCCAATTCCTACTGCCATTTTTTTATTATTTTTAGTTCAGCTGATCTAAGGTGTATTTGTGTCTTCCTGTAAATGAAGTTTAGAGGAATGTGATTTATATAACTGTTAAAATGACTGCTTGGTTTTCTTCTAATTTTTGTGACAACAGAAGCGTAACTGAAGAGAGCAGGAACCTAAAAATATTTAGGGACCAATATTTAGGGACTAGGGAATGAAGTACGCTACTTACCACAGTGTTTCAGTAATGAGGTATACATGGATGTGCTGGAAGACGGCAGTCACAGTCAATGAGCAGAGGTGTGCTCCTAAGTGCTAATATAAACGTAATTTACAGTGATCATATGGATATATCACATATGGCATTGGGGTGTATAATGGATATGACATGAAAAAAACTACACCCACCCACCCCTTCTTGCTGTGCCGGAACATTAAGGCGCAATATTTACTTATTATACGTGATTTCACATTCTGTTTTTCAGATCGTCAATGGGTATTTTGTGCATTACTTTGCACCCCGTGAAATGCCAGTGTTTCCCAAAAATGTCATCTTCGTTATAGATCGAAGTGGCTCCATGGCGGGCAGAAAAATCGAACAGGTAACTCCCCCTGACGTCCTGACCCCTGCTTGCCTCAGCCGCACACGCCAGCCTTTTGCGGAGGCGGCTGTGAATTGCACGTTGGAAACACAGGCTACTTTTGCACCCAGCGAAACTTGCAGGCGTATAGCAATACCTGGAAACACGTGTGCCCAGATTTAAGCTACTGACGCTCAGCACTTGCCTGGCACGGCTGTTCGTGTGCGTACTGTACCGTGATGCAGACAGCGCTTTTCCTGTCTCTGCCTTTTTGCTACCTTTTTCTTTAATGAAGTTTAAAGAATTAACTTGTCCATTTTACCTCTGTTGATGACGTGTAGGTAGCTTTGCTAGGGTGCAGATAATCCCTCCACAGCCCTCACAGGCAGTTTTTTTATGACTGTAAGTCAAGTGAATGGGCCATTTCTGATGGCCTCAACCTGAAAAATACCATCAGAGCTGAATAAGGGCATCTTGACAACTGCTGTATTATCACACTGCAATTCCAATCCCAGCTCTGGCACAGAAGTAGAAACATTCAAAGGGATTGTTTTCTCCTTGGAACAGACGAAGGCTGCCCTGTCGAAGGTTTTGCAAGACCTCCGCCCAGAAGATCATTTCAGCTTCATCACCTTCAACAGCAAAGTGGCCAAGTGGAAGAGCTCCTTGCTGCAAGCCACTGCGGAGAACGTGGCGAATGCTGCAGGATTTGTCCAAACTCTTTCTGCCAGTGGAGGTACAAGGCATCCCCTAGATGCTTGTCACTAACCATAAATGTGCTCCCACTATATCTTACTGCTTAGAAAAAAATGATTTGTGTTAGTCATAGAGTGCCACAGAGCCACCTACCATCTGTGCTCACAAAGTTCACATTTTTAATATTTATGAGTGGGACAGAAAGGCTGATTACAGGAGTGGATGAATTGGTGACTACATCATGATATTGATATAGGGAGAGAGGGTCGGGTCACATCTATGAAGCATACCAGACACCTCATCTTGTTTCTGCTTTTTATGGCAGAGGTGGCTGACAGATTTCCAGTAGTACATTTTTTTTTTTCCCCTGAAAAATAGTAATTCACTCAAACATTTCACAATGAGTTTCTGTGGTTTTTTAATACCAAGGGTCCCCTCGTAAAATAAAATACATCCAAAGTTATACTCATATGTAGACCACACTGCAAAAACAAAATATTCAAAATAGGCCTGAAGCATCCCTCAGTGAGCTTTGTTGTATGATTTATTTTTAAGCGCATCTAAAAGGATACATCTCTCGTTAATGTTATGCTGTTAGTACTAACGTAGGTTTTCTTATCCCGGGTGCTAATACCAATAAAAAGCCCACCTGTGTCTGTCTGTTTTCTCTAGCTTCTCAAATAAGGCTAGAGACAATTCTTAAACGTAGGTTAGCATGTGGCAGTGTGTTTATTTAAGTACATGGCCCTGGGCATGTTAGCATTTCACAGGACATATGTGTGGAAAATGCTCCCAAAAGGATACTCGGGCATTGCCATCGCAATACAATACACTGTAATTAAGCCCGGTAGGCTAAACCCCTAAATCCTCATCTCTCTGAAGGATTACTTCCTGCAGAAAACTTTAAACAACTCTGCAAGGCCTTGGCAGATGAAGTGCACCAGATTCTTCAGATGGTTGTCGGCTTTAGCCGAGTGATGCCTGCTTTCTCATTGCAGGCACGGATATCAATCGTGCCCTGCTGACTGCCGTGAGTGAGCTGGATGAAGCCGAGAACCTGCCAGACCGGAGCGTCTCCATGATTATTTTGCTGACAGATGGCCAGCCCACTTCTGGTGAGTGAATCCCAGCCCCAGTCCTCTCCTCCTTGATTTTTTATCTTTCACACTCGCATCCCAGCTGTTGATAGACACAGTCCATGTTTCAGAAGAGCTTTGCTACAAGCAGGCTGGGCTATTGCTGGATCTGCGTCCGAGAGAGGTTGATTAATTAGGAGAGGGCTCTGGCGAGGGCTGTGAGTGATGGCAGAACCTGCCTGCCCGTGACTACATGTCCTTTAGCTGGGAACTGTTTTGTTAAATACCATTGGCTTCCCAGTTTATAAACAAACAGGAATTGTTGGAGATACTCCAGGTACAGCCGAGACGTGAAAGTAAAATACTGACACGTGGACATTTTGCATATATTATGTACAGTGCCATTTGATAAATGGTGCTTATATTTCTTCACCCTCCTTGCCCCAAACTTGAGATATTTTCAAGGTCCCTTTTGTTTTGTATTCTTTTCCATGTCTAGCTCTTAACCCAGCGATCAGCTGTGATAGCACAAACCAGAGGGTTGAGATAGAAATACTGGGTTAAATAAACAGTAACTCCCAGTGCAATGGCACAAACATCACTTGTTCTGAGCGGGAGTTGGTCTGAGCTTTGTGTGGCACCAGCGTCTCTCTGAGCCCAGCAATATTAATTCAGCTGCAAGTCCCCTAGTAAGATCAGCCTGCCTTTCAGACCGTGTGACCCATACCACTTTGGGGTTGGTTTATTTGATTGGGTTTTTTGACTAAAATTCAGCTCAGGGTGCTGCCTGCTCAGCACAGCCACGGTGAGTCTCAAATGGCCCCGAGCACATTGCCCATCCACACGTTAGCTTGAAATCAGGCCGGGGTGGGGTGCCTGGTGAACACGTGCAGTGTTATTGCATACACTGCCTTCCTTGGCAAAGCGGGCTGAAAGGGAAAAATCTGAGCTGCTCCCATGGTATTGCTACAGGCAGTGACAGTTCCTGCCTGGAAATGCTGACAGAGAAGCTCTCCGTGCAGGGCCATCAGTGGCTCTTTACATGGGATAAGAAGATGGGGTGAAAATCTTTTCCATTTGTCACACAAAGGGGCTGGGAGAGAAGCGTGGCCGAGTTAATTTGCAGTTTGTCTGAATTACACCATTAACCAATCCAGTCTTCTCTGAATTCAGGCACATAATTTTTATGGATGGTACTTGTCTTCCCAGCTCAAGTGTTTCCATCCCTTGTGCTGTTAACTTGCAGCGTGTGTCCTTTTCATCCTAAAATCCTCCTCTGGCCCCCGTAATCTTGTAAAATATTTTGCACTTTGTCACAACGACATGAGAAGAAGTTAGAAAAAATCGTTAAGGGAGAGAATCAGGTTCTGGCACTCCAAACGCAGAGTGGTGCTGTCAGCTCCAATTCAATTAATGGAATTCTGTCCCGTATATTTTTAATATTTTATTCTGAGTTATTTTCAAAATACTTAGGCAGATTTTTCCATTAAAGCCACTGCTGCCTTTCTGTCCTTTAAAACCCCAAACAAACAAAGGTATGCTTTTGTTTCAATTACAGGTGAGAGAAATGTAGAAGTAATTCAGGAAAACATTCAGAAAGCAGTCAATGGGAAATATGCTCTCTTCTGCCTTGGCTTCGGGTTCGATGTCAGCTTTAAGTTCCTGGAGAAAATGGCCCTAAGCAATGGGGGAATAGCCCGTCGTATTTATGAAAATGCTGATGCACCCTTGCAGCTCCAGGTCAGGACTAAGGAATATGCCAGAAAAAGCCATCTATCAGCTACAGCTTATGTCTAGCCATAGCAGCAAACCCACAGATTTTCTGAGATGAAGGGTTGGATTTGAGTTTATGTGTCAATATTGGGGAGGGAGGAAGGCGATTTAGATATATCTGATGGTTTGTGCCCTAACCCTGACTCAAAGTTGAAGTCCTCCTCAAAGTAGCTGCGTTTGGACAAACCTGGAAACTCACACATTTCTGCAAAAAGACAAATTGTCCAGGGGAGGTGATGGTGGATAAACTTCTGTGATTTCAAACCGTTTAAGTATCACCATTGGAAGCCACTGTTTGTTATGGTGTGCTGGGTGGTATTTTGCTAGCCGGAGTTAAACCACGACATATGGCTTCCCTAAAACTCAGTGGGCAGTTTGAAGCACCTACAGGCAAACAGTATCACCAGCCTGCGTCTTCCCTGCCCCTCTGGAGAGGGGTTGTAACTTTCGTGAGATTCTCTTCTTTTTTGGGAAGCCACTTCTCCCTGTTTTGGCTGGATGTGTGGAGACTGGATTTGCTTAATGCCAGCCCAAGTCCAGAAAAAGAAGATTAATCCTTGGGTTCAGTCAAGTTTCAAAAATCAGATGTGAAAAGAGGCTAAAGCGAAACACCTAACGGGGAGGGTGGTGATGATGGGGGTGCTGCTGGGGTACCTGAATTACCATGGGCAATACATCTTGTATGGTATTGCCAGCCTGGTTGGAAAAGGTGTGCTGAACCTTGGGAAAAAACATGGTTTTTTTTTTCTAGGTTTGCCTTAGTCTTGCACTGCTTTAGAAAAAGCTTTGCTTCCTTCTTTTCAATGGGGTTTTAGACATTCAACATATTTCTTTGCACAATTTTGCAGTCATCTGTGCGTGCTCTCTCTCTGCTTCTCCTTAGGGCTTTTACCAAGAGGTGGCTACCCCAATATTAATGAAAATTGAAATGCAGTATCCAGAAAATGCCATTGAGGGATTAACCAAGAACAATTTCAAGCTGTTTTTTGAAGGATCTGAAATTGTAGTATCTGGAAAAATCAGCAACGAGCTTGACATTTTGCCAGTAGAAATTAAAGCTCAGTCAGTAAGTGTTTAGTTTACTAACTGTGAAAAATCTCCCATCTGTCTTTTATGGTGCAATAGGAGACTTCAGGAAGTCTTTTGTGTGCAATATATGCTCTCCACATTTGGGCATTCAACTGTTTTCCCATTCTAGGAAAATATTTGAGAATTCAAAGATTTTTTTCTCTTCCTGCATTTGCTATAAAAGCAAAATCTTGAAGGATATCCACAAATAAGCAAACAGCAATTTCAATCTTTTAAAAACCATAATATTTTGAGCATTTTTAGGAAACTGGTTTGTATTTTTAGGATTAAGAAGGAAATCTGAATTATTCATCTCAAAAATGCTGAAATAGAATTATTTCATTACCTCCTTTTTTTTCAACATTGTTTCAAGTCCAGAAATACTTATCCCAAATACAAGCTGCTTTGGCAGCTTGGAGTTGCATTTTCCAATGGGAAAGGAAAAATTGGAGGACAAAAAGGGTACCTTGGTACTGAAAGATGTTCTTTTAAGGCTAATAATGTGACTATAAAGGAAGTCTGGAGCTATTCTTTTGATGGTCAGTTTTCTCCCACTTCAGCACGGTAGTGACCTGACTCTTAAAGAAGAAGCGAATGTGGAAGAGAAGGAGAAAGTATTTCACAATCAAAGTTACATCTTTGGAAATTTCATAGAGAGGCTGTGGGCTTACTTAACCATTCAACAGCTTCTGGAAAAATCGTAAGCTATTTTAATGTTTTGTATTCCAAATTTCTAACTTCTTAAACCAGAAATTCCTTATTCACAAATTATATGATCGGAAAACACAGAGAAACAGAACTATTTCTGCAGGTAGTATTAAGAACATAGTTACACTGGAAGAATGTTACATTGCTGTATGAGGAACGCAAGGTGCCTTTCAGTTTGTGACACTGCAGTATCATTATCTTACACAAGAATACTGCACATACGTGTATATCTATACACACATATGAAAACATGAGATAAAATGTTCTTCATGACATTACTGTGAAAGAGATTTTAATTATTGGAGTGTGTTGAGCTGCTGTTATACATCCAGAAGTATTTTCTGTTGATAAGCGAATGGCAATAGCTATTAAAGAGAACACTAAGTATGTCTGTAAGACATTTCACAGATCATGTATCTATTATTTTTATGTATGTAGAACCATACATAAGCTCCAGCGTTCCCAGCAATTAAGCATGTCCATAATTTCAAGCACAGACGAGCTATTCCAGTAAGACTGCTTATATCTGTTAAGACACAGCCAAACTGAGAAAGAATCTGACAGACAACCTGCTCATAGTCTCTATACACTATTCCTTGATCATTAACACAGATTTTAGTATTTCAGCACAAGAGGAGGACCAGAAAACCCTGGAGGCACAAGCCTTAGCGCTGTCTCTGCGGTACAGCTTCGTTACACCCCTTACTTCCATGGTGGTCACCAAACCCGCTGGCCAGCAGCAGACGGAGCTGGCGAACAAACCCACTGAAACCGGTAAATGGGGCATCGAGCAGCGCCCCCAAAATCTGCTGCTGTCACTGACGGTTTGTTGTCGACGTCCAGTATAGGCTCATTTTATAGTGATGTGGCACGGGAATAAGCCACATCGGAGGCACGGGAGTTGAGGGATTAGCTTCCTTTCAAAATAAAACATACAGGATTTCTTTAAAAGGTGAAGTGCTGAAATGGGCACTACCATTGAAATGGAAAATAGTTTGTTTAAGTGTTAAC